GCCACTTGAAGGCATTCAGTCTCCCATTATTTGACATTCGTGCAGGTGGCACGGACTCCACTCTTTCCATTTAACCCATCAGTCTTCCACTCCTTCCATGCACTCACTACTAAAGCTCCTCAAAAATTCCAATGCCCTGGCACGTCTCCAGATGTAACCTCGTTGCTGCAAGCTGATCTAAACGAATCCCGAACCACGTCGTAGCCTCGAAGCAGTCACCAACATTTCTGGAGTACCACTTCTACATAGACTTGGGCGTAACAAGGTGCACCACAGTACTTTCAGCCATCGTCAAAGCATTTCCCCTGATGACGTGGAAGATTTCGGCAGTGAAGACACTCGCCCTGCGATTACACACTTGGTGACTTTAGGCAACCAATTCTCAAGTGCATTATTGCACATTCCCACCTTTTCTTCGGCATAAATTATGCCGCCCTGTAAGGCTACAACCAGGTACGAGGCGTGTTACTACTGCGCTCAAGATTAGCGCCTCCTCTGCCTGAGAGTAGCTTCAATACCTTTGATCAGAGTGCCTTTTTCCCAGTAGATGAATTTTTAAACTCTACGAGAGCGTTTCTTCGCTCAACTGGTGTGTAGAGGAATGAGAGCAGACAAGCCTTCCGCCCACTGCTGGAGTACTTCTTCACAATACTCACTGACTGACTGACTGACTGACTGGTGTGGGTGGGGGTGGTGGAGTACGGGCCACCTCATAGGAGGTTGCCCTAGTGACACACAAACACACATATAGTCGTCTCTTGAATTGTTAATGTCATTTAACCGACAGGTGAGTGACTGGCCATTCCACCACCCCACCACCCTGCTCCTGCAGTGTTCTGACGTCAAGAGGCTGTGCTACCACACCCTACTGCATGCGCTCCCTCGTGCATCAACGTCTCCCGCCATCCTGATTGATGGTGTCTGCTACGGACCGACCCATGTCACATGGGACACACCTAGTGCTTAATGCTGTACTCAGTACGGTAAGTCAACAAAATTAAAAGCTTCTACTCAACTTGACAACTCATCTCGCACCAACATTTCACTTCTCACCATCCTTGCAATGACAGTGGACGTAGAAATGAGGCGGTAGTTAAAAGAAGACTCTGTTTTGAACCTGTCAGGTTCCCATTCAGTCACTAGCCAATCAAGTACAGCTTTACTCATGCTGCCGATCTTATGTCCCCCAATCTTCTTCCGACCTCATAAAGACGACCTGGGAATCTATGGTTCCGGTTGATCGGCTTCTGTACTGTGGAAAATCAGAAGAGAGTGGGACTACTGGCGTGGCCCAAAGGCCAGACCATTGGATGGAGGTACGATGGCGGAGCCACTAGGTGACTCGTTACCAAAACAACCAAATAACGTCTTACGTAGTCCCTCTCCTCTTTTGAGTGTCGTCTCCACCTCTCCACGTGGCCAATCTCCCGACCATTGACCATCACAACGCAGGTGATGCTGTAGGGGAAACACTCACTAGCCAACCGCGCCAGTCGTCGAATTTGCATGCAAGTGAGGAGGTACTTGACGGCAACATCACTGTTTCCTCTTGGCAATTCCACTGGATCAGGAGTTGCATCCTGTTTGGGAACTGTGTCGTGGAAAGGAGGGACTGTGCATGCCAATTCTCATGTACATCGCTAGAAGTAGAAGACTGACCTGAAGGTATAGCCACTAACAAAAAACCGCGTATCGTAGACAGCTCGGCAAAGAACTGTTCCAGATGGTTCACGGCCAATATCGAATCCACCCTATATCTGCCTACTTACCTACCTACCTAAGTATCTATTTTTCCATCTATCTATTTGTCTATCTATCTACCTCTCCATCTACCTATCTATTTATCTCTCTCCCTTTATTTATCTGTCTATCTCTCTATTTATCTGTCTCTACCTACCTATCTATCTATCTTTCCACCCATCTATTCACTTATGGCTTTGCATGTATTTAACTTTTACCTACTGGTCTCCATACCAATCTTGCCGCTCCTCTCCATCCCTCGCCACTCTTGTGCATGTCGCCCTGTCTAACAGCCTACCTCATCGCGCACCCACCACTTTACCCATCTAGGCATTTGTTTATCTGTGTAGGCATCCAACTACCTACACACCTGATTGCTCACTTGCTTACATGTGCCAAGTTCTCTTTCTAGGCAATTCAAGTAAAATCAGAATTCTGAAACACCTTTTTTTAGGATGGAGGGCAGCTGTGCCATCCTAAGAAGTCTGTTTTAATGGCCTAAAATTCTGCATGCTATACAGTGTGAGCCAACCGTGCCGCCGCTCAACATAACAATTCGTCCCCTCTCTTACCAGATCGCACCTCAGGTCATATGTCCATCGGGCGTTGAGGAGTAGGCGAGCATTCTACACACTGATTGAATCTTGACAGGAATGGATGACTTTTGTAACGTGAGTTGGTGACGAAACCCTCGCTACGGTCGAGACATTCAATGGTAGATAGACGGGCAGACGGATATGCGGCCATTTGAACGGCTTTCAAGCTGTGCGCCACTCCATCAAATGTCTAGCTGATGAAAGCTTGAGCATCGCATGCATGGCATCACCAGAGCGTGGAGCACTCGAAGCCTTCTGAAAGGATGAGCAGAGAGGAGCGAAGAGCAGAATCCAAAGAGCCGATTTTTACACCTCTCTTAGGGTTTGGCCCATCACTACACGGTCTCATGTCACGCGCACAAAAGCGTCATATGAACGACGTCTAGACGGATCCACGACAACCCCTAAGCGTGTAGGGTGGCCACAACTGGGGCAATTGAAAGCGCACCAGCCATTCTACTTCTGAGTGCAATACCACCACTAAAGTAGCGCCCCTCACATCTCTACGACTTTGCATGAACGACCTCAATGCCTCTAACCGTCCACCTGTCCACTCCTATCCGGTAACCCCCATTTCTTTCTCTACACTACTTATCTGTCACTGGCATCCTTATCAGCCCCTTGTTTGCTCCTAAACCTTTTGCATCTGTACCAAATGCTCGCACATGATACTCAATAAACAGCAAAAACAGTAATTACTACTCCATTTACTTTAATCACTCGCTCATTCATTCATCTCCATAGTCAGTTCAATACAAACGGCACAAAATTCGCTCATCACCTGTAGCACCCAAGGCCACGATGAAAGACATGGCCACAGATGTCAAGAAAGGCGACAGGAAGTCATGTTTAGACAGGTAGTGGAGAAAGCTAACCAGCAACAGTGGTTCAGGTGTCATTACTGAAAAGGCTGTACAATGAAAAAAAAGTTCTTTAAAATCAAACAAAAGCTCCTACAAACTACTCAGACTGAGTCCACCCTCGGCAGCTTGAGCTTAAAAAGTTCCTCTATCCACTCCTTCAGACGAGTGGCATCCGCATTGTCCGTGACATCGGGATACACGGGCACTTCATACTCTTCCACAGTTTGAGTGCCTTTGTCGACCGTGAGTAGCACATTTTCCGTCTGAGTTGACTTCCACTGCACCTCCTGCTCGTACCTCGACAAACAGACTGCTCACACTCTGTGTCCATCTTTCGACATTTACAAACGCATGATTAGCAGTGACGTCTCACTACTAGAACAGTCGAAGGCGTTGTTTCCGTCATTGATACTATTGATAGGTGAACACTAAGATATAAAAGAGCACGTAAAAGAGACTCCAGCCTTTGTAAACAAACAACATTGCTTTGGTCATGATTTAATTTGACTAGTAACACTCCTCCCACCCTGCCTGCCCATTAAAAGTACATTCCAGTAGTGGTAAGAAAATAAGCGCCACATACTCACCATCAGCACCCATAGTAACTGTTCCACTCGTGATGATAACCCAAAAACAAGGGTTACCTCCTAAATTCGGGTACAGAAGCTTCCTACCTAAGAGCTTACAGACGTAGGCTCTCTCACCCAAGAACACATGGAAATGCTGCAAAACAATACCTTGTTAAGTTTCTTATAAGGCGGTCTTCCGAAGCAGTTGGTAGGTTTTCATCTGCCTCGCTCTCGTCTGTTTCCCTAACCCCCGCCAGTTGTTACCCGCCGGGAGTATTTCCGGCAAGTGGAATCGCGCTTTCTTTACAGATAGCCAGAGTTTACGTCTTAGCGCCAAAGCCACTGACTTAAATAAGCAGAGGATGGATAAAGTGGCCATCAATACCCCTCGTGTTATTATGATGAGCACCACAAGGTAAGAGTGACTTAAACAAAAGAAACAAGATTTGGGAGGGAATGATGTCTTAGGAAACAATACAACTTCAATAGGACTTATTTATTTCAGACGATTTTCAAACGCAAATGTGACGTTTCTATGCAATTAGCATTTAAAACCCATATTTACCTAATAAAATCGACTTACCCCTAAGTCTATTATTGGGTAAGTGCTTTGCTTAAGTAAATGTCAAGACCCTTTTGCGCATTTTAGTTGTTTATTAGTATTTCTAGTCTTGGTGAATACATATTCACATAAGGCGGTTTCTAAAGGCATTTTTATTGGGGTAGGGAGTCGCTAGGTGGCAGGTGCAACCTCCTGGACGAACTAACTGACAAGTCAGAAGAGGATTATAGAAAGAATAAACATGTCGCAGTTAACTAGCAATGCTACCCTCGTTCAATAGTCAATGGTTCTTACTCTTGTCACACACTTTGACCAGATGAGAGCTTCGAAATAGAATGAAGCTGGGGCATATATAAATGCAAATGTCTGTTTTAGATTATTCGAATAGCAATTTGCTGTCACAGCGCATTTTTGGAAGGAGCCAAACAATTTCGTACAAGTAATTGTGAGCATTTTAAATGATTTATTCCCCGACTTGTTTAATGGCGAGAAAAAGTTAACAATAAGTTGAAGGGAAAAACTTTGTCTCATTGGTGTGTTGTCCGTCGCTTCCGAAAGGGCGGATTCTTGAATGCTTTTGTTCACTTATCGTTTGCTAGTTGTACAAAACTTATCACTTTGTTACTCGAATGTACATGGCCCAATTAAACTCCGCCTCGCGTATTTCAATTCGAAAGTTTTGCATAAATTTGCATTTCTGTTGCGCAGTCATGAAATATTCTTCATTTCCTTGGACCAATTATTGAACACTGTATAGTATTATCTGCCTATAATAAATTTTGGGTTCTTCCTAGCTCCTTGTCTTTATTTTTACATGCTCTTTATGGACAAATTTAACTCTGCCAATTTTTAGGCACGAGTGTTCATGTGATGCATGATGTCACCGATTAGGAAAAACTTACTTTCTTATTTCCTCCCATACCAACGTTTTTATACAACTTAAAATGGCAATTTTTTTGCAAACTAGGGTGAATGGGTGAAAATATTACCCAAAAGCGGCAATTGAGCCCGCCTAAAAAGTATAAAAACCAAACATTTGAAGCGTCCCCTCCAGAAATTCATAGAGGAGAAGGTACCGCCTTTATTGCTCAGAAGGCAACAAAATACTTATTTACTGCTATTTCTTTTTTAGCTCTAATCATTAGAAGCGATTCACCTCATCTAGCTATTCCTCGTGGTGAGTTATGGATAACTGATCTTTCATCTTTCATAGATCCCCATGTCGAAGTTAAGAACTCCACAATTTGCTTCGAAAGAGAGGCTAAGAACCTCGACTCATTATCTGGCCTCTTACTGTCTACAGAATTAAGCCCAATTGGCATGTTATCTTTCTTTGACTAAGTTTTTAGCCCAAGTAGGACGTAAAATGCCATCGTCCTCGTTCAGCACATACAATATGACCTACACCACCGAAATGGAAGAATCCTCAGGCAATGAAGACAGACCAGATGTAATACGAAACTCTCAAGGCGAAACAAAGTTTGATTTTTGTTTTTCTCCGATTCAAATGCAACGTCCAAAATCACCACAAATGATGTCAGCTGTGTATGAGGTCACCGAGCCTCTATCCGAAAGAACAAATGTTTTTGACACAAAGATGCATGCTTTGGCTAACCATAAGGAAGGTGGCATTTCACCCATTCAAAACACTCCCAAAGCGTGGCAGGTTGCAGACATTGGTGAACCAGACGACGGCGAGGTGGATGAAAATATACCGATTACTCCGAAAGACCACCTTCTAAGAAACTCAGAAAGGTATTGTTTTGCACTGCTTCTGTTCATTCCTGAGTAAAGTGGGCGGTTTTTATGCACCTGTTTAAGGATGGTATTTTTCTTCCAGTTTGACATCACGAATGGCACAATTGCTGTGGGCGCCAATGGTAAGCATGTAACGCTTATTTCTACTGAAAATGGTAATAGGAAGGTGGAAGTAGAGCTAGCGGTTAATATGAGCCCTGACTCAGCCAGCTATGGTGTTACAAAGACTGAAGTCCCCTTTTTTACTTCTCAGTGCTCACCCAGCAAGGAAATTAGTGAAGGGAGCGACGACTTCGACTGTTCTAGTGGTGAGACGTCACCACCAATCATGCGTTTGTACATGCCCAAAGATGGACACGGAGTGCGAGCAGTTTGCTCGCCGAGGTACGAGCAGGAGGTGCAGTGGAAGTCAACTCAGACGGAAAATGTGCTACTCACGGTCGACAAAGGCACTCAAACTGTGGAAGAGTGTGAAGTGCCCGTGTATCCCGATGTCACGGACAATGCGGATGCCACTCGTCTGAAGGAGTGGATAGAGGAACTCTTTAAGCACAAGCTACCGAGGGCAGATTCACAGGTAGAGTAATATCAAGTGGGGCTTTTGTTAGACCTTAAGGGACTTTTGTAAGCCCGTTTCGTTGCATAATGTTGCCAAAATTCTTTGTACCTCCAAATCAACAAATTTTGTTCATAAAACAAGTGTTTGATCATCTAAATTTTGTCAAGAGAAGGAATTTAAGTGAAATAATCTAAAGACCTTACTTACGGTTAGATCGGACTCTTCTATCTTTCTTGGATAATAAAAAGTGCTAATTGAGCCAAATATCAAGGTATAACATAAGGACCAAATACGGCTGGCTTTGGTGAGGCAAAAAGCACACTGAGAAATGCCAACAAGTTACCCCTAACTGGAGGGACTTTTGGTGTGAAGAAGAATTCCAATGCAAGGCAAAAGTTGGGCGCAATCGCCGGATTTACAGCAGACTACATTGTGCGGACGGCAGAGGCGGATGATGGACCCACGCTCCAGGTGGACACAGGCCATGCACAGCTTACAGTTCCTTGTACAGATAACTGCACTGCCATCACCAAAACGGAAGCAGTTGACCTCCAGGGAGTAGCAGAGTTCGTGCTGCATGCCACATCCTCTTTGAGAGGAAAAAAAGTGGATTGACAGTAAGGCGTCTTTAAGGCAGCAGATATTTACGTTTTACCTAAATTTACTTCAGTAGGGTATTCATGGTAGACGTTTAAGTTGATGATGACCTTTTTTTCACAAAAATTGCTCCCAACTTACAGGACTGCTTGTGCTTTTTGACTGATATCTCTGAACATGCCATCAGAGTTTCGTCCCCTTCTTATACGGCCATCGATGAGGGAAGGAATGAGCAAAAGGATAAGGCAATTCAAGAGGCTCATGGTAGCCTTGATTTTGGTAGACAGGCTAGTTTGAATCAACTGTATCGATCACACGGTGACAGGTTGGAGGGAGTTTGTCAACTCCATCTCCCTCGTCAAGAATTTGTTGCAAAATAGGGCATATGTGTACACCTTTTCCAAATTGTTAAAAATATTTCTGAAGTTAGTTTAGCAAGTTTGAATGAAAATCATAAAACTGAGTAAATGCATTTTTTTACAAGAGGTCAACGTCATCCAATTAGAGTACAACCATGACGTGTGTTGTTTATGTTGACAAGACAAGAAAAATCGATACATACTGTTTAAATCTACCAATAAATTTATTTTCCGTGTCATTTTAAAGTAAAGATGGACCAAAAGATTATCTACGTTATAATTGCCATCATATCAGCAATTCTCTTCTTCTTTGCCATCGGTTTTAACGGTTGGTCATGTGGAGGCAGTATTTTCAGTGACACTTGTCTCATCTCGACGGTGAATGAGGTGACGGGCGCCCTCCTCCTGACAGCTGGGCTTTTAGTTCTGCTTGGTGGTATATTTTTGATTGTGCTAGTTGTCAAAGGTGACACGTGGGCCAACATTGTCGCCACGGTGGTTGTGATTATTGCGGCCCTCCTGTCATTGGCTGGGGTCCTCTACTACCTGGATCAACGCGAATTGTGGTCACCTTTCTTGGCCTCGGTTGCCATGTCCTTCACCATGGCCTTGGCTGCTATTCTTGTGGCTGATTTGGCTACGGGTGGAGGGAGGAGTAAGTAAATAAAGTTGATGGAGTGGGAATTACTGCTTTTGACGTTGGGTCAGGGGTTTTTTGGGGAATTATAAGGCGAGTTGTGATTGCTGCATGCAAGTGCGGAGTGGGTGAAGAGCTCAACATGATGTCCGAATGAATGAAGAGAAAGTAGGGATTGAAAGCTATCATAAACGGGGACGGATGGACAGTTGGATGGGCTCAGAATGAATGGGTATATGCCGTCCCAGAAAAAGGCGGCTCCTCCTCCACCAATTGTTGTTTTCTCTCCTCTGGTTGCCTTCTTTGGAGTGTAGGTAGCCACCTTTTGAGTCACCAAATCAGATCGGCATTCGTGTTGCCATGAGTGCTGTTGCTGTTGCTTCTCTAGTAGCCGGAGTTGCCCATCATGTCAAACGGGACAAGGTGGAATAAGCGCTGTTGTCTGCTTGACCTCTTTTTTCGCCCGGTCCCGTGTTCTTCCGTCTGGTAGTGCAACCGAGTGCCAACCGCTTAGCCGAACAATCCTACACTTGACATTTCATTGTAAAAATTGATCTTCTTCAGTGCTTGCGCCTTCACCTGCGCAGAAGCTCGTCGAACGGTATTTGCTTGTTAAACCATCAACATCCCATCCAATCGCATTAAGCCAAAAGTTTGTCGAATTTCTCGTTCCAACCGGACTAAAGGCAATGATAAGGATGCGCCCATCTGTGGAATGCTAGCCTTCATTCCTGTTCTCCCGTTAGCTTTCTTCCTCCTTTGAACAGCCCCTATCAGATGGCAGGCAAATAAACCCGATGGTTGTACTTTGAGCTCGTCCATTGTGAAGCCTTCTTTGACCTCTTGAGAAGGCATGGTTGCAAAGCCCACCCCTCTCTTCCCTCTCAAATGTGTAGACAAATTCTTGGGACTAAAAAACCCTCCCAGGTAGACGAATTACGCTCCGGAGGATGGTTTAGACTTCGATAGAGTGGATCGTTGTACAAAGGGAACAACTCCCAATCAGATTCAACTCAAATGCCAAGACAGATCGACCCACGACATCATCTAAGTGATGGAATCTTTGGGAGCCGTCAAACATTCTCAATTTATAATTTGTATTTTTTCCCACATATAGCAAAAAAAGCTTCACTTGACTGATTTAGCCTGCGAAATGAGCTTTGACTGGCCCCAGTAAACGAAGCGACACCTCATTGGCTAGCTTAAAGCGGTCCCCTTAATATCCCTCCCCCCTCCCCCGCCACAATGATCATCGAAGTAGCCTTCTTCTTCTTGCTGTAAATAGACTGCTTCAACAACTTTTCTGGTAATTAAAGTTAATAAAGACGGATTTCGTTACCATATTAATCACATTTCAATCAAGATGCAGAGGTCGGTAGAAGTAACTACTCAAATACACAGGTAGTAGCGCGCACCCTACTTATTTGCAAATCAGTAGTATTTTTTTGGAGGGAAATCAGCCTCTTGAACATTGTAGTGTATTTTAGCTTCCAGTAAGTGGAATTAAACATAAAAACCATACACAAGTAAGTTCTTCAGAATATCTAGTACCTACTTCATTTTCTCCTGTTTTCTCTCTGCATTTTCCCGTTTTTTTATCCGATTTCCTCTGTAGTTCAAGCAAAAAAATTGTGCCGTTTTCAAACACGAGTGTGAGTGTGTGTGTATGGCATCACCTCACAGGTTTAGTCGACAGTGAAGAAGTGCTTGACAAACCCCACAAAGCGCCTGATCGATGCGTTGGATGGTCTCCTTTCAGGCAGGTGACTTAAATCATGAGTCGTGTGTGTGTGCTTGCATGGCCTTGTGAGGCATTGGAGAAGCACTGGTGTGTAAAATAAAGACAAAAAAAAAAAAAAAAAAATAAAATCGCACATTCTTTCATGATTTCACATTAAGAGATGGGTCAATGGCATTGCTTCCTTCATCTTTACATATATTTTCTTTCAAGATATATTAAAATGTTTTTAAATCTATAGCACCTTAATATCATAAGCTAAAAAATGTCACCAAAATTGCGTTAATTTTTAATAAAAGGTCAAGGGTCTATGTGGTTGAAAGGGCGATGTGAGCACCTTGAGGATGGCGAGATTCTGCACAGGCTATGAGAACCTGGCACAGGGTGGAATTTTAACAGGCACAGGTTTTATGCCCCAATTATGTTTCTCCCTACAAGAAGTAATTGCTTCATAAAATTGTTGCCTACTCAAACTTTTGTTTCTTTCTAGCCCTAAAATGTTATGTACGTGGGGAGGAGAGAGGTGATTGAAGGATTGGGAAGTAAAGACGTAAACAGGTAGGTGAAAAGCTCGACAGATCGACATAACGGTAAATTGAAAATGGGTCGGAGGAGGGTAAGACGGATCACCGAGTAGAGTAGTGAATAAAAAATGTCTTTTTTAGCTATGCGATTTAACTGACATAAAAGGGTGATCGAACTGGATATTTATCCACCCATTGGAAGTCACTTTGATGGGTGGATGAACATTAAGGTGAAGTGAGATTTTACAAGACAAGCCGTGAGGGGTGTTTGCGTGCACGCACGCGACCAATGGCAAAGCTGGCGGTGGTAGAGCCCGAGGGGGGGAGGGTACAGCAATGGGTGCGGCGTCGTGCCTCCTCCCTCCTCTTCGGCCTACCACAACTGTATAACACCAAAGCGATCAAGTCTAGCTCCGCTTAAACTTTTTTTGACATCTCAGTCCATCATTAACAGAGGGGTAGAAAGGCAGGCCGTCAGATAGATTAGACGGAAAGAAAAAAGAAAAACCTAATAAACATTAAACCACAACCAAGTGGGAGTTGGTAAATTCTTCCGCAATGCTTGTCGGTTGATTTATGTGATTCAATTTTATGTGAAAGTAGGCCCCACAAACTTCAGCACTGTTAATCACATGAAGGTAACTGAGGTTATCCTTCACTTTTATTGCTGTTGATCCTAAAAATGAGTAAATTTAGGTACTTATTGTTACCTGTCAAATCGAGGCATCTATTTGTAGCTGTCATGGGCAGTTTGTAGGTATGGTGTTCTGGCTAGGCAAAAACCTTTCAAAATCAAATTTTTATCTCTGTCATTTTTCTTCTCCTCAGCAAGGGACAGCCGAATCACGGGATCATTGACTGGACAGTGGAGTTCCTCGACTTGACGATCGTAGCATCACTACCACCCACATGACCATGACCTTTAGGTTGTAACAATTAGGAGGTTGAGCCACTTTTGGTGAGGACACGCATCTGAATCACCGTGAGTCATTGCCAGCTGTTTGTTCCCTATTTTATCCGTCCTGGTGCAACTGCGACGTTCAGTGGGATTCTTTCCTGTGTATCCATTTCCCGATGTGCGGCTAGACATCCACTCGGAGGGATTAGACGTTTTCCTTGAGTCGCTGGTAAAGTCTTCATACAATAAAGCATTATCAGAGCTGTCATCCCGGTGCGGTGGCACAACCAACTGTTCCACACTAACTGAATGTTCACAGGACGTGAGGTGGTGACGGAACCATCGCAACGTTGAGATCATCACTCTCAGGTAGACACACAAACTGACATATGACTACTCGACCGTCTCTCAAACTTCACCCCAATCCATCAAATGTCCAACTGACGCTGACCCGTCACACGCACGTACACGCACGCTACGATCATCGCCTGTCAGTTTGATAAGAACAGTATTTAGACGGGTTTATGGTAAAAACATTTACACGTGGACGTATGGGGCGCTTATAAAGAAAAAGAAGTAAAAACACACCTGCTACTCTACTTCTGCATGGGACACCACCACAAAAGGATCACCAAAATTATACCTCTAAAATTGGAGACTCCGGCCTTACTTAAATCCACATCGTTTAATTGGTGTGCTTAACCACCCGAGCAATTACCATCATCGGTGCATGACCCTCTACCACTGCCGATATCCGCGATCCTCCTCTCCACAATCTCGCCCTCAGTTATGATGCATCCAGGTTGGGGGTACATTTGGAAGCACCATAGTTGATCCAACGGCATCAATACCAGTCCTGTCAGATTCAAGGCCAACTTTAAATGACTTCAGCTTTAAGTGCTCAAATTTATAGCTATGACTAATGCCACAATTTACCACTTAAACCGTAAAGGGTGATTGAATTTCTGGACTAATTTTAGTGCCTCGATGGAAAATTGACACTAATTTGGTGCGCAGTAACATATATGCCTCCCAGGCCAATGAAAGTGGGGTAAAAATGGCGGTTTGCCATTATAAAATAAATATACCGAGCCCTGTTGGCAGATTCACGACGTTGTGCCCACTAGTTGAAAAGAAATGGATCGGAGAGTCGCCTACATTATCATTGCCTTGGTGGCAGCTATTCTTTTCTTCGTGGCGATAGGATACAACGGTTGGGGATGCGGAGATGGCATTCTTGGGCCTAATTGCCTCCGAAGCAAGGTGAATGAAGTAACCGGTGCCCTTCTCCTCACCGCCGGTTTACTCGTCCTCATCGCGGTCGTCTTCCTCATCCTCCTCGTGGCTACAGAAACCAGCTGGAGCGAGATTGCCTCCACTGTCATTGCCACCCTCGCTGCAATCATAGCCCTCGCCGGGGTTTTCTACTACCTTGATCACAGACAAATCTGGTCACCCTTCATTGCCACTATTGCCATGTCTCTCACTGTCGCGCTGGCGGCAATTCTACTGTTCGATCTTATCACCAGCAATACCTAAATCAACTCGTCGTATCTTATATCATCTTTGCCAATTAAAATTCATTCATAAATAATTCACACGCATTCTTCCCTTTTTCTGTTTTAAATGCCGGTCATGAGGAATGGGGTGAGAAGTCACCAAAATTTTCGTTTAAATTAACATTTAAGAATTATCCGATCGGTTGGAAACCTCCATCGGGTAGTAGTAGGCCTGGCTGTAAACTTCGGGGACAAAAAGTATAAGGCACAGCAGCAAAGATATGTCCACGTCTCCTTGGAAAGTTGGTTGAATGAGTACCATGAGTGACAGGTAATCAAAACATGTCTACTTTATGAATGCAGTTGGTTGTCCCCTTTCCCTCGGCTCCTCCTTCTAAAGGCGTAAAAGCGTCATGCAAAAGGTGTTGGAAGACATTTTCAGGAGGTTGATGTCTGTGGTAATAAAACCTCGCACACAGAAAATTTAAAGGAAAAAGCAATAAAAGTGAGTGGCGTGATCCTGGTGGTCAATCAGCTCAATGAAAGAGAGTTGCATCACATTGCACAGCACAGAAGATGCAGTGTAAGCGATCGTGCAACAATTGGTTTGCCGTCCACACTCCGTGGAGAGGGTGAAGTGATGGGGATCATCAGACGAATGATTGTCACAGACCTACAAAAAGGAGATTATCATCTGCAAGGCGGGGGCGGAAGCGAAGGAGACGGGGATGGGGAGGAGAAGGGGGTGGAGAAATGACCCCTGACTTAGAAGGCGACGCCTTCGAAAGAACTAAAGAACACTTAGTTGGCTACATCAAAATGGTCAATTCACTAGCCATGGCCGAATGTGTGTGGGGGGGGATGCTGGGTAGCGGAGGGATGTCGTAGTTTGCTCACCTCAGGATCAAAGTGACGAGGGTACTTCCACTCGACGCAGCTCAAGGACATGCAGAAGAAGGTTCCGTTGTCGAAAGACTATGCGTGAATACATCCCAAATTTGACAATAAAAAGGAGGGAAGTAGAGAATAAGAAGAGGCGAAACAGCCTCCTCTTCCCTCTCCTCACTCTCCGCGTATATCCACATTTTCGTAACTAGTGGTTCTGCGGTTCAACTCAGATCCTGTCGAAATCTCATTAGAAGGGAATGAAGTTAAAATCAGAAGAAAGGGCATTCTATATTGACGCCTTTTTTTGCCATTGCCCACGTTTCAACTGCGGGTGTCTTATGTGAGAATGCGGTGACTGGCGCATGACGGAACAACCAAGGACGGTCTGCTCTGGAGTAGTTGTGGTATATTGTTTAAGCGAGGCTAGTTAAGAGATCATAAAGACCAAGAGCAGGGCAAGGTGGTTATTTATTCAGACGATTGAAAGAAGGGCGTTCTCTGGAATTGTAGAAATTCCCTCAATCAGCCACCAATCATGTGGTAAGTCACACTTGTTCTCGACACCACGCAAAACTCAAGGCCACTTGCATGGTAGAACAGACAGGTAAAAAATAGCATTGAATGCAGAACTGGAGGTGGGTGGAGGCACCTTCGCCTTCTACTTAACCGGTACTGGCACTTCTCCACCCGCATAACAACTGTGGGAATCGCAAACTACCTTTTGTCACTTCCGGCTCCAGTGGATGACACTAAATGAAGCCGTCTATCCTAATCTGGCCCCTACTATCCAGGAAGAGGCAAGTACTTAAGCTCACTGCGCCACCTTCTCTAAGTGAGGCAACCCAATTCTTCTGAAGATGAAGTAAAACAACTCCCTTTAGCCGTTATTCGGAACGAGACAATGAGATAGGGTAATTTAAGATGAGACAAGATGCAACATAACGAAGCGGATAAATCGAGATGTTGTGATTGTCGAGGGCCAGGAGCCTCGGATGTTTTAACGACTGCGTCGATTTGGTGACACATTTAACAGCTACCTTAATACCTGTCCACTGTCAACTGAAACACCACAGCATGTCTCCTCACAACATTTAGTCACCAGAAAATACCTGTTTCAACTCGCATTCCTTTTTGTCGTCTCAGCAGGGAGTGATTCTTCAGACAGTTAATGACGATGGCCATATACCCGTCAGCCTTCACATCCTCCTCACATGCATCATACCTCCTATTAGACCAGCATCGACGCCTAGAGGTGCTTATAAACTCACCAATCAACACTGGCATTTCTCTGTTTTTGGAAGGTTTTGAATGTGCTACTCTCCTTGTGCCTCCTTCTCAAACATTCCTGGCAAAATCTGGCACTTCATGCCTTAATGAGCTTCTCCTGACTGAGCAGTACTGTGTTCTGATGTACTTTGATAGTATGCCAATGCTAACGCAACCTCTTAACTCATTCAGTATGCTCCTTCACCCCATAGTCACGCCAATGGCATGGAATGGAAACCTCTCCCCTCGTGGTGTGGACTCCAGTATACCAGGCAGGGCAGGGAAAGTGATGCCATGCACCTGTCGGGTGTCAGGATGGCTCATTTCTGTTTTAAGTCGTCTGACTTCGCTCTACACCACTTATGAAAGCGTCTTCCCTACTGTCTTCTGGAAGGCTTTCAAAGATTGCATCTCTTCCACCTGTCAGTTAAAAAACTTCAGGTATTATCACACCACAAAACGGAGTTGTGCAATTACGCCATATTCACACACTTAAAGTTATATTTTATAAGGGAGGTGGAAAAGATGGGAAGCTTTCTTTAAATCTTTTTTTGATTTACATTCATTGGTGTGTTTTTGACAACTTGGCACCCATACAGGACTGCCAAAGGCAAAAACACAGATCAGGGGGGCAAATGGCAAGATTTATTCAATAACACAATGAGAAAGCCTAAAGCAGAAAATCCGAGGCAAGGCAGAAATACAATAGAAGTGGAAGAAGCGAATCGTTGATGCAAATTGATAAGGCAAGTACCTTGAGGCCTGATGAGGCAATCACGCTTTATGCACGGAGATGGATATGTGGTCGAAGATGAGGATGGCAGCCAAAGCGACGGTGAGCGACATCGCGATGGTGGCAATGAAGGGTGACCAGATATTTTTGCTGTTCAAGTAGTAGAACACACCAGCTATCGCCAAGATCGCGGCAATTACGGTGAGAACAATGGAGAGAATATCAGCCCATTTTTTGCCCTTCGTCACGGCAACAATGAGGGAGATGGAGGCAAAGAAGACGACTAAACCAGCAACCAGAAGGAGGGCACCGGTTGTCGCGTTCACATTACTTTGAACACAATCCTTGCTGAATATGCTGCCTGTACAAGTCCATCCGCCGTAGCCGATTGCCGTGAAGAAGAGAATGGCTGCGACGAGAGCCAAGACAAAGCAACCCCATCGATGGTCCTTGTGCTCCATGGAGTACCAAATGTTGCACGCACTCGTGTATGGCACTAAGTTGCATTTATAGTTGTGAGGCGTCACTTGTCTTCGCTGTTATTGGCTTTGACAGTTAGTTGATAGCCACACACCAGCAACTGCACTTATATATAAGTACTTCGAGGCATCGAATTGGTGACTTTCTTAACCTTCCATCTGTTACCCTTCACCTAATTTGATAAGCTTTACCTCATTGTGGAAGGTGATGTCCATTTATTTTGCACATTTCTTCGCAGATGTCAATTGCCCGATGACACCGTGATTACCGAATGAGAAGGCGAAACCTCCAAGTTGCTCACGTTCGTACTCTTGGGATTCGGTTGACGATGTTTCCTCTCCTAAATAATGCTGAAATCTCTCCTTTTTCTAGGTTAAAAATAGTGGAATTGAATGGGACCAATTAGCTTCTTGGCCCCAAGTTACTTGTCATCTCACTTGTTACTTGAAGGGGCATGAGGTGATTGTGGCTTATTGGGTATCAAAGCAATGAAGTTAGTCTTGCGCGTATTGCGAAATGACAGGACTGGTAGTCTTCTCCTTCACCCAATCCACGCAAGTGCTTGATTGGATCTCTATCAGTCTACCTGGATATTTATTTTATGAGCTCTAGCTCTCATCCTTGCCTTATCCTAGGCCCTCGACAATTATATCATTTCACTAAAATCCACTTCTTTCCATTCCAACTTATCCCATCCCACATCACCTCGCCCTACCATTCATCTCATTGTCTCCTTCTAACCCATGGCAAGGCAAAGACGCTTTGCTTCATCTTTGCGGGATGAGGACTGTACCACTTGGCGAATGAGTTTGAGGGATTGCTTCCCTTTGGGTAGAATAAGCAGAACTATGGCAGAGATCTTCTCGAAGTGTTGGCCTAATCTTGTTGAAGAAAGTAAGCAGAATCGCAGCATCCCATTAGGTGTCTCAAGATTATTTAAGAGTAGGGTCTGTGAAAGCCGAGGAGAAGGTGGTTCTACCCGCCTCTACTTCTACATGAGAGGTTATTTTTGCACCTGTCCCTTCTGCTATGCATGTGATCGTGAGAATGTACGATGCGAAGGTAAGAGGAGATTTATATACTAGGCAAGTGTCTTTAAGGTGCTGTAACAGGAAGGGTAATTTTGATGTGGATAAATTAGTATCTCTTCACCTCACCTCCTCATTTCCAACCTAAAGTGGGATATGCATTCCGTCCTTGTGCCGTAGGAATGGAACCTTCTTCATACCGAATTACTTGCCGTTGCTGTTCCGGCTGCTTCCCTGAAGAAAGTTCTACGAGTAGAAACAATCGCGATCAACTTGATCCTGAACTGAGTAAACAAAGACCCAAATACACTCAAAGCATGCAGCATGAGTTAAAATTGCTAGCGAGATGACCTTTTGGCGATGACCGGTGACCTGCTCATCCGCTTACGCTGCAAATCTAAGGGTGGTATTTCACAGTCAACCATCCGACCCGTCAGTCAGTCAGTCAGTCGACACATACTGTGGAACCCAAGATGTGTTTTCGTGGGACATGGGAAAGAGGTACGACAGCTGGTGCTATTCATAGCACAGCGGGTTTCACCACTTGTGGTGGGGGTGTAAGTGGAATCCTTCATCACCACTCAAGATAGGTATTAATAAGAGTCATTCCTAAGCCGCTGCTATCGAATTAGGCTCTTGGTTGGCGCACACAATCAAATACGAAGATCAGGAATGGTAGCTCACCGTTAAGCTGACGCCTCTGCCATTGACTGACTCACCACCACTTGGACGGTGGTAGCTTCTACCCCCGCAACAGTAATGAACACCTTTTAAAACGTCGGGGAGAGGCGTCTACAACTGTAAAATAGAGGTAAAGTCCAATTCGTATCACCACCATTTCTTTAAAATGGAGCACCAAGAAGAAAAAAGGTGGTAGAGAAGATGAAGAAGTCCTCATCGGCGGACTGACGCACATCCACCAGTGCTTCAGAGGGGATGTTCACCTCGGTGTCATCAACTATTTAAGAAATTCAAAGGGGTTAGTGAGTGGAGTAAACATCACTTCGAGATGAGGTCAAGCAAAGCGGGCAGGGGGTCATAGAAAGTGTAGGCGTTGATGTGCAGCTATCAGGCGGCTGTCAAAACCAATGACAGCACAAACAAATAGCTTCTTACCACTATAAATCCAGCTTCGTGCACGGATCATCTAGCGGGTTACATTACCTTAGCTCTCATGGCAGTTATTCTCCACTTCACGGTAATTTTTTACATAAGTTGAAATTGTAAAGGTAATCTACTCAGCCAGAATTGTCAAGAAAGAAGGGTGGTTGAGACAAATGCTGGTGGACCTATTACCCTTTCTTCCATCTTTCTCATTCTCGTTGTGTGGAAAGGAAATGCCTGGATCAAGATTGTCTCCATTGTACTTACCACGTGGAACGCGATCTTGGCAACAACTACACTGACCATAGAAGTGTCTGGTGGCTCCTCACTGCCACCATCGCGGTGTCGCTCACCGTCGCTCTGGCTGATATCCGCCGCTTCGATTGCGTCACTTATGAGCGGAAGGTGTGGCCACTTCTTCAGGCATCACATGCAGAGTTCAATCTGTCTAATTCTGCTGAACAAATTTCATATCTTGGCACTTGCCTATAAAATCTGTCTTTCTGAATTCAGCAGTCCTTTTAGGGTGCCAAAATATCACAAAAAATGAGCATCGAAGGAAATTTGAAGAGGATTTCTCAAGGAAGACAGGGTGCCTGCACATTCATTCCCTGTGTTTTCTCAATTTTGGGCCATGTTAATAATTGAGGTCTTCCATCTGAATGAGGCGGGAAATAGAGTTCTCGAAATTCCTCCAGAAGGCAGTAGGAAAGGCGCTTACATAAATAGCATAAGGGAGAGCTAGATGACTCAATTCTTGAATGGCTATTCTGTTAAATCACGGAGACGGAGAAGGCAGTTTGGCTAAAGGGCTGGGATTAGCTAGGAAAAGGGACATTAGGCAGTCGCATTGTCTGATTGATGCGGACTGTTTACATCGTTCCTCTAGTGTGTTGACCTTGACCGATTTCGGGTTGCAGAAGGCCTCACTCCACGTCACCTTACTCCAGGCAACTGGCTGTGAGAACGATAAGACGCCATCGCAAATAAGTTTGGTTAGATCGGTGGCTGAGAGACACTTGATCTCTTTAACTCTGTGCTTTGCAGCTGAAGTTGTGGGTCACGCTTTACTTCCTGCCTTAGAGGGACATAACTGTGTGTAGAACACACGATTCCTGGACTATGGTTACTAGGTTTCCTTCTATACACTAATCGCTTTGTTCCTTTTACAGTAAACTCGTCTGATTCTCCTCTGAATGTAGTCACTTTTTTGCTGTTCTTGCATGACAAGTGCATTCGTTTCTAATTTGTTTAACTTGTCATTCTATTTTTAAAAAATTATGGAAAATAATAGAATGAACTCCAAAGACTGGAGATTGCAAACTAATAGGCGCTCCGATGATTCTCATTTGACCAGTATAAATCAGAAGCAGTTTAATACAATAGTCTGTCAGAACTGGGCGAACGAAACGTGATCCAAGTACTATAATAGGTCTTAGCAACTTTGCACTGCAATAACGATATTGGGCCGTCACATATATGTGACACTGCTTCTGGCCTATTTCCTAATTAAGTAGATATTATCACCTAGTCTCAACATTGCGTAATTTCATGATTCGATGCATGGCAGAAGAAGGAAGGTGGGCAAATGACGTCCAACGGCATTATTTCTCTGTCACTTTCCTTCGTTTCTACAGACTCCATTCATATTACAGCTCTCTCAATCACATTCTGCCTCGTGTCACCTTCAGTGACAGTGCATGACAAACT